TCTTTCTTTCTTTCTTATTTTGTTATGGATTAGAGTGAACTGAACAGTTACGAATAGAATTTCTTTTTTTGCTGCCAAGTGCAAAGGCATAAAATGAAAAGCATTTGTACCAGAATTTTGACCATGGACTATGAGCTAAGAGAAAATATCTCTTAAGGTGCGTTCTTTTTTTTTTTTTGATTTTGAGAGGGGAAAAATTGGTAAATGATATTTTGATTCTCATTGACCATGAAATCCATGTTCTTTTATCAGATTTATATAGGGACCATGGAAAGTTTAATTTTCTAGGCATTACTTACATGGGTAAGTGATACTCATCGCCTAGATGGGTAAATAACTTTTCCACATGGGAGGAAAGTTACTAAATAGGAAATAAAAGAACATGGGTAAATACACTTACCCTGATAAGTCATTCCTAGGAAACAATAACCTAGATGAGTACATTTACCCGGGTACATAACATACCCAAAAGCGAATAGGGCCTTAGGAGAAAGTGATATTTTGTAACTGGGTCATTATATAAAACCATAGAATAAAAGTATTATTCCTTATTTAACATAGAAATTTATAGGGATATGCCCCTCCAAAACTCCATGCTTCCCAGTTCCGACATCTTGATCAATGTTCTCTCCATACTTCAATCTCATAACTGGAGAAGATGAAGGGACTGTTTGGCAAGTCTTTTTCAATAGTTCATGTTGCAATCCAGCAGACCAAAAAATGTACTGAGCTTTTTGGAGACTATCTTTAAAGATCAAGACTATTTGGTAAGTATCTTGCTCTACTGAATTGTTAGAAATGGAGTAGAAGGATATTTTAGGTGATGGAAAAACAAAAGCTTTCGTTTGAAGCTTTCCGATTTTCGGCTGTTTTGGGCTTCCACGAGATTTATGGGGAAGACTTTTATTACCAAATGAAAAAAATGGTCTTCCAAGTTTTTAAAAAGCCCGAAAGACGCCATGGGAAGACTTGCCAAACACCTCATTTTGGCCTTCTGATTCAGTCAATTATAATTCATTTCTTGCCTGGACCTACCACTCTCACCTTTTCTTTTGGCTTCTTAATTTCACATTAATCTCATGTTAGTAGGGAAAGTTGACAAAATTGAACCTCTAAACCTCTTTTTTTCTTTCTATATTAAAATTCCTTCTTTCCTTTCTTTTCTTTCTTTTTTTTTTTTGAGATTATACTTAGATTTGTTAAAACAACTTTTCTTCAAAATAAAAGAATTCCGGTTGAAGTTGAAGAGGAAGAGATGAGAGTGGGGAAAGAGGAAATACCTCCCTTCTGTTATTCTTTTACACCCTGGAGGGGAATACCCTTTTTATGGTTACTTAATATTGCTGAAATCCTCGGTTATCTCTTTGTGTCAATGAGGTTTTCACATAATCTTGATCAGTAATTAAGTAGATAGCAATAGCATGATGAGAAACCTGCTTGGCCCAGGCCTACATTACAAAACCATTCATGCACCACCCACGGGTCAGGCTGACCCCTGAGCCCCATCAACCATCATAGTGTTTAGATTGTTCAACTCTGTCAGTTGTTACCAGAAATGCTGTCAGAAAAGCAGAGATCAGATGGGACGGTCAAACCAGTGAATCTTGATTAACTAACCGATTAAACCATTAAACGGGCGACCCAATTAGCTTTCCAATTGATCAGAGAATATCAATTTGGTAGGGCAAAAAAGGCACAAGTGCAGCACAAAAATTTACTTTTGTTCCTCTAATTGGGGCTTGTTTTGTAACCCTAATAATAGAGAATAACTACCATTCACAGTGTACAAAGGTTCTTGTCCTTTTTCCATGTGCAAACTCAGGAGATGCCAATTTATGTAAGGAAGCAATGTTCTGGAAGCCAGAGAGGGGGCATCAGAGTATCAGACTGCTAGGGTTTGTGTTTCCATCAATCGTGGTCCAAAAACGGTTTACGGTTCTACCGTTTTCACATCTGAAAATCAAAATCACTAATTACTAGAAGCACAAGAAATCAAAACTCTTATGATATGGATTTGGGTGAATCAAAATCATATCGGACTGGACGTTGACCCAACCTGGTTTACGGCTCCCGTGGCTGTTGAACAGTCTAACCCATCCGGGTCCGGCCCAGGTCCAGGTCTCAGAAGAATGCAAGAAAGTGCCAACAAGAAAACCTTAGAGGGAAGCACAAACGATTCAAATAAAAGGTTGAGAGATCAGAAGAGACAAATTGACATGGTTTGTCTCATGCATGGAAAGAGACTCAAAAGCTCTAAAAGTCAAAAGCTGAATATTATAAGCTTCTTAGTTCAACCCAACCCAACCCAACCCAAACTGTTCTCAAATCTTCTCTCAATCAAAAAAAAAACAAAAGTTAAAAAGATCCAATCCAACGGCTATGCTGACATCAATTTCAGAGGACCCACACTCAAAATCTCTACCCTATTGCCTATTGTCTCCCTATAAACACTATAAACCCATTTTGCCTTAATTAATTAACCTATTCTTCTTCCAACAGAAGAGCTGTTTGGCATTTTATTTACTTCTCATTTTTATTCATTTGTTTGTTAGTTTGCAGAACACGGAAGCGTGTGACATCCTGTCAAAGTGGCCACACCCCACAGGAAAACGCTTGTTGGTGAGGACTTCAGCCTTCAGCTATGAGAGTAGGAAAGCCAAACGCATCCTTGGGCGTTGCTTGTCGGGGACTAAAAAGAAGAGAAAAGAAAAGGAGAAAAACCAAAAAATCACAGCGTAGCATTAACTGTGTTCATCAAACGCGTGTTAAAGCTTATCCTTTTACTGCCACATCAGAAGTGGACGTGAGAGAGACGCGTTTCCTATAAGTAATTCTCTCCTACCAACCGTTGTAGGTTGTCCATTTGTAGCAGCACATGGAAGCCTCTTCAGTCCTTGACGCTGCCTAAGCCAAAATTGGGCTTTGATTGGCTTCACCATGGCCCATGTCGGCCCCATCCTACATTGACAACTCATAGACCACCCACACCCCCACCCCTTGGACCCAACCCCCCTCAACCCAACTTGGCATGCTCACGTGTTGCTGATTCACTGGGCGTGACAGCGGTCCCTCCGGTCCCACCTAAACCCCCTTTTTTTGAATCTCGATCATTAAATTGGCATTTAGTCGTTCCCAACGAACAATCAACCGATCGGGCAATCGCGGCCATTGAAGCAAACATCCAACGGCCATAAGAGAAAGACACCTCGATTGAGATAGGCAGAGAGAGAAAGAGATTCTTGTTATTGCCAGCCAGACCTAGGATTAGTCGACATGGATGACACATGATTAAGTGGGAAATGGGAATTAGGTTCCCCCCATAGACATCTAAAATTAAGGG